AATAAAGATTATTAAACATATCTAATGATGATAGTTTAAATAATAAAATATTACTTGTTACATAAATTTTATACTTTTGATATTTCTAGGTTGTTATTTTTATTATTAGTTTGTTTTGTACCTTTTATCCTACAAGAAAATATTTTATACAAGATAGTACCAGCAGCACAGGCAGTACAACTGACCCATGAACTATAGATACATAAAAATATTGTTACACTGATTATTCCAAGTATGAGTAATGCAGCAACAATATTACCAACCATATATATTAAATTATATTCGTTAGAATGATTGTTGTTAGATGCATCAGCAAAAATGTATAAGGTGAATGATAATAAAATTAACGTGAGTAGAATAACCTTATTAGTCATAGTCATTTTAATTAATTTATTTATTTGATAATATTTTAGAATAGAAAAAAAGACGTTACTTATATTTATTTATTTGAATAATAATAATAAATCTAAAATCTATTGGACAAATATATAAAATTGTTATTGTACAAAATATCCAACTATAATTAATATTTACCACATTTAGTTATTTAATATATGCTACAGACAGGAAATTTACAATGTATACTTTCTAAGATATAGTAGATATTTTATTATCAATTCAATGGATTAATGTATCAGAGAAGCTATTTTCTTAACAGCTTTTATTGCAGAGTCAATACTATCTTTTAAATGTACCGCGAAAACTAGTTTCTTCAAAACCTTTGATATTTTTTTTACAGAGAAATGTTTTTTGTTCAAATTTAATTTTTTACCACTTAGTATTATATCTACAGACACTGTTACTAGTTTTCTGAAAACTTCTTGTACATCTTTAAACATATTGAATTCGATTGGCATATTGATAATTGATTAGCATTTTCAGATTTATTTGTTTAATTTGTTTAATGATAAGATTAACGGTATGATTGTTTAAAGACAAGCTTAGGCAATAAAGATTGTTTAAATACAAAACACAGAGAGGATTTGATATTGTATGTAACATAGATTTCATGCAAACATGCGATCATGAATGAAATATTTTATTTTTAAAGGACAAAGATACAAAGAAAGAAACTACAAAAGTAGTAATACATAATTTGGAGTTGTTGTTTAGACACAATAGAATTAACTAGGTGTACATTTGTATGAATAAAAAAATATTGGAAGACATGTTTATGGTAAATCACTACACAACAGAAAAATCTTGAGATGTTTCATTAACTTTTCAAGATCTTTGAATGGTATACTTTCTAAATTTATATTTCATACTGATTCCATATCTGACAAGGTAATTCTAATATTATCTATTATGGATTTTAAAATAATGTCATGATAATTACGAAATATACTTAAAAAATTTTTAAAGTTGTTCCTATACATTGATGATTCTCTATACGCGGATATGAATTTGTCTATATCAGGTATGAAATCTTCCTAAGTTAACACAACAATCTCCTTAGCCTCATCACGAAGTATATAGCTAAACGATTCTAACTTTTCACAGTAACTCCTCATTATATATGACAAAAGTTCTTCATATATTTTATCGCCCTTTGCTTGTATTCTAGTAATTATTTCATATGATTTTTCTAAATCTAAAATATAATCTTCATCACCAAATTGATAGTGAGAGGCTTCCAAGTACATTAAAGAAACATCCTCATTATTATTTTTTATTAAAACGTCTTTTAGAGATGTATATTTTTCAATATACGACATTGTTATTGTTTTATTGAATAAAATTATTAAATTTATAACATTATACGAGATAAAGAAATTATACATGATATTGTTCTAATTAATAATTTTTGCTTCGCCTCTTCATTCCATCTTTCTTAGGGTTATTATCAATATTAGATAGAGGAATGATACAAGTGGCTAATCTATTTTCTACTTTATTAACATTACACACTTGATCTTTAGGACATTTTGTATTAATAATTTCAGTACTGAATTCAACATCGTTAACCGTTACAGGCAATTTTTTGAGTATCCTACAGTCCAAGATAATAGTCGGGTCTTTAGGATCGCAGGGCGAATTTGCCAGAAATGTACATACTTGTCATTATAGATCAAAATCTAAAAGACACGGTCTTGAAATTTAATCAAGTTAGTAAACAACAGATGCTACACAATCTCAAATATGTTGAATACTCACTACAAACATTAGAATAAATTAGTATATTACAATTTAACAATTAATGCGAGATACTAAGCGTTAGTTCATACTAGATCTGAAACTTTCAGTGGATCTTTAGAATATACATGTTGTGTTGTGAGTAACAAGATCAACAGAATCAATATGTTTGAATATAAATATATTTTGACAATAAAAATTATACAAGATCTACTAATTATACTTAATCTTTATACCCAATTATACAATAAACTATTATAACATTTGATAATTTTTTTTCTACTTAGAATTCCAGAATGATAATTACATATTTGAAAGATAGATATTGGTTTATATTAAACAAAGATAATAGATTAGTAGATTACTTATATGAATCTATAAAACTAGTGATTTGGTTATGAATAAAAAATTATATTAATATTTATTTTTTTTCATTCCTGGACAGGATGGCAACATCGAATCTCTCTAATCTTTTTAAGGATGAAACTACAAAAAAGATATATCAGTTGACCAGAGAATTTAACCTTGCTGATTTGAAATTTAATTTGACTGATGATATTAGAAGAGGTTTTTGCGGTACTTTTATGAATTTAGTTAACAATCATTATATGATATATAAAGAATGTAAATTATGTCTGCAACAAATTCATAGTGATTATTTACCTCCTATTACAACATATAAATAGCTTATTGCGAATGCATTTAATCTTGGTGACTCATCAAAAGTTATAGAATATGCAGATCAACTTAAGTTAGATTATTTTTTAAGTCTAGAAAGAGGTTTGGCCGAATGCGAAACAGGAAAAGCTTATATGTTAATTTCAAAGATGACAAAAAATAATAATGACTCGGAGATTAATTCTGAGTTAAAATATGATAAAGACAAAGTAATTAATGATTCAAGCAAAATACATTTTCTTTCTGCTATATATAATGGCGCTAATCTTAAAGCTGTAGACTATTTGAAGGATTATTATGGAATTGATGTTGAAAAGAATTTAAAAGAAAAATATGATAATAAAGATATCAAAACTATTGAAGCTATCGAATATTATATGTATTCTGCTTTAATTTTTAAAAGAAATATTATAAATGATTTAACAGTTGAGTATGTTATAGATGTACTATTATACAGTATTTCGTTAAATAGAAAAGATCCAGATACTAATTGTCTATTTATTTATCGTTTGTTATTATGGAATTATATGGGTCCTAAAAATTCTAGTAAACATCTTACTAGAAAATTGTCCATTGAAGAAATTTGTAAACTACTGTTTAATGGTAATAAACAATATGAAGATATAAATAAAGAATATGTAGAAGATTTGATAAAAGAGAATAAAAAATATATTAAAGAGATGCCAGATAATATATCTGGTGAAATTAAAAAAATTATTCTTAAACATAAACTAGAAATGCCTAAAATAGATAAAAATAAAAAAATCAAGTATTAAAATATCCAAAGATACATAA